GCAGGAGGTGCACAGGGAAGTCGGGGGCATGTGAGGACCTCTCCGTCCCATTGTGTGGCTCCCAGAATTGGTGAATGCGGCTCATGAAGACCTGGTCCTGAGACCAGTGCCTGGGGATGGAGGGAGATTCAGAAGAGACAGACCATGCTGTGAGTGCTGGGGAGTTTGCCAGTCTACACCTCCCCTGGGTCCGTACCCAGGTTGAAAGAATCTGGGTAAGAACTGATTCCCCCTTGTGGCCAAATCCCTGAATGATCTGAGACTCTTCAAGAATTATCTGTACTTTCTCCAATTTAAGTGACATCTTGATGACCAGAAGCACCCTCTTGGCAGTAAGAATGAATGCCTCTCTGTGCATTTGTTTGTCTCAGAGCAGTCATACGTTGCAGGTTCATCTCTGTTGGGGGTTACACCCAGGAGTGGAATGGCTGGGTCACTGGATGAGCTCATGTTCAGCATTAGCAGCTACTGCCAGTTCTGCCAAGTAGTTGTACCAGTGTAGACTCCCCCGGCAAGTAGTTGAGAGCATCATCAGTTTTTTAAATCGTAGCCCTCCTAGTAGACGCACGCTGGCATCTCTTTTTGGTTTCAATTTCTGTTTCTCTAATGATTAATGATGGTGAACAATTTGCCGTACTCTTCGGCCACTTGCATGTCCATTTTTTTTTCCAAACGTCTTTTCCTTGTGGATGTGTAGGGGTTGTTTGGATATTCTGGTGCCAGATCAGATGCATGTATTACATGTATTTTCTCCCACTCAGTGACTCCCTTTTACTCTCGTAAAGGCATCCTTTCACAGTGGAAATTCCTAAGTTTAAGTCCTATTTATCAATCTTTTCCTTTTTATAGATAGTGCTTTTGTGTCCTACTTAAGACATTTTTGTTACCCTTAAGGCAATGAAGATATCTCTCCTGACTTCTATAGTAATAAAAGTCAGAATAGTAGTTAGGCTTCTAAGGGAGGGGAATGACTGAGAAGCAGTGCAAGGGAGGATTCAGGGGGCTGATTACTCTCTACCTCTTGATCTTGGGGTGGTTACACCTGCTTGTTTACATTTAAAATACCCATTGAATTGTATACTTATTACTCGTATGCTGTGCATGTGTGTTATACTGCCATTAAATTTTCTGAGAGAGAAAATGGATGAATAGAAGCTACTAATTGAAGATATACTAGGTAATGACTATGTATATACAGTGAGATATTAGAGAAAATATTTGTGGACACATTCTATAACATCATAGGTTCTCAATCTATATAAGCCAAACTTTTACTAAATGTATTTTAGCAAACAAAAAACATTCAGTAAGTATCATTTAAGGCCATAAATACTGATGTTGATTAATTAATATAATATTGAAAACGATCAGTGCTGAGCATAAAGTCCCTCCATATCAATGAGGCTTCACAGAAAGAGTTAAGCAAGCATAGAGCCTAAAGAGAGAAGAATTTGGTCTTACAGATTTTTTATTAAAATGCTGCTAGCAGATATATGGCAAGTCTAGCTTCCCACCTCTGATGAGGGGCATGAGTAGTGTGGTCTATATAAAATGGTGGCTTATGAGTCTCAGGTGGTGAAGAATCTTTGAGACCACAGCAGGAATGTCACAGTAGTAGGACAGAAGGCTCCAAGGCAGAAACCCAATCAAGATGTCCAGCTAGGATACAGTTAATACTAAACCATGTCCCAGAACCTAAACCTGGAGATGAGTGAACCCAGCAGGAAGTTCAGTCAACGCAAGAATGAAGATCACATCAGTAATGCCCCTTCTAGCACCAAAGGCAGCCAAGTATGTGCCAAGGTCTTTAGTCTGAGTGTCTTTGAAGAAAGAGCCAACCAGTAGTCTGACCATGGATAGCTGGGGTGGCAGGTGTGTAGGGGTGTGCATGTGACAGCTGGTTCTAGCAGCCAGACACCGAGAAGCACTGACCTTGGAGACACTCCCCGAGAGGAGCCCAGGTGCACATGTGTGAATTTAAGAATTTTCCTCTGTATCTTTTGTTGCCTGCCCACTAAATCACCCCCTGTCCACTTCTTAGCCTCTATCCTTGACAAGGCGGAGATTTCTAAGGAGCAAAAACAGACCGTGGGACAAATAAGAAATCACTGTGGGGGCACAGTGAGCAAATAAATAGGGTTTGATGAAGGAAGTTAAGAAAACTAAGGCAATCAGGAAAAGCCAACTTTGCAAACATGAATGAGAAAAGCAACCTCAGGAACTCCTGGGTGGCATGGTGGTGGGAGAGGGAGAAAGTCCATAATTAGGATAACCCATGGGCAGATAACAGGGAATTGAAGCCCAAGAAATTCAAGCCCAAGAAGCTGGCATTTCTAATTAGCTCATGAAACATCGTGTTTTTAGAGTTCACCATTTCTTATATCCAAGAGTTATCCTTTACAGTCACAGCGCTATAATTTATCACATCCAGGCATGCAAAATCATCCTTTTTCTAACATTAAACATGTTTAATAAGAACAATTTATAATAGCACTTTAGGGCTTTAATGAAAGAAAGATGTTTGACACACGATATTTACAGTAATCATAATACTACAAGATTTAAAGTATAATTTTTTACAGTGTTAGATCAGGAAGCCAAATTGTCCATGTTTTTAGTTAATTATTTGCAATGCTTTTGGGAGGAATCAGCATCCAGAAATTAATTACTAGTTTTCCTCTACACAATTGTCAGTGTTATCACAGGGTGCTGCCTCTAGCTGCCAACTCCTTTATACCCTCGCTCTGGTAGCAATCAGCAAATGCAATTAATGTTAAACCACTTGTCCTAATAGCCAAACGCCAAACGTCATACCACATGCAGGATCATAATTATGCTTTGGGAAGTAGATGGATTTGGCTGTGTTAACCAAGAATTAACCCAAAATCTAGAGGCCACTTGAACTAGTGCTTGTGGACAGTACCCTTTATACCTTGGCCTTGGAGAAACCAGGACATTTTTCAAGGCTAGCAGTTGTATGCAAAGCTAAGAGCCTTGAAATTCTTTTTTGAAAAGATCTAAACCTTTCTTTGTCAAGCTTTAAAGTTTTCCTTTGCCTTCTCTTTTGGGACCAGTCAAATTTACACACATTCCAGCTCCACTTGAGTGAAATTCAAGTTCCTATTTAGGTATTCGCTGTTAACCACAGGTCTCATGCTTCACAGCCCTTTTGACATGTGTTTATTTGAAAAGGTAAGTCAATGAACCGGTGCCTTTCTCATATTTGACAAGTTCTACCTGACTCAGGGAAACAGAGTGGGGCCCACCTTCAATAGGCAGTGATGTGGGGCACTGGGTAATAGGAGTAATGTTCCTCCTTGGTTTACTGTCCATGACCCCTTCGATAATAAAACTCAGGGTCAAGGCAGAATCACAACTGCCACTTTTAAGAATTCAGATTTCCATCAACTTCAAACTTAAACACAATCAGGAACATGGAAAGAAGTGGAATATTACAGAACCCACCAATTAAAAGCAGCATCCGTTTTTCCATCCTGGAGGTGTAGAAAACCTGAACTTAACCCAGGTACCCACCTCTAGCAAGTACCTCCTAGAACATGTTGGTGTTCTAAAGTCACCCCGCTTCATTTGTTCCTCCCCTTGGCTTGCCTCGATCTGATCCATTGATATAGCATCACGATTATAATCAATAATCATTACTAATTTTCACTTATTTTTGTACATGTTTTAAGCTACTTAAATCTTCTTTGGAATAAGACAGAATAGCATTATGTTTGAATGAAGAGGAGGTGCCCTAAATCCTTCAGTCAAAACTTACTTTCTATTTCTACATACACTTTTAATAAATTCAGTCATCTGATTTCACAACACACAGCAACTCAGAAGACCACAGCTGACAAAAAGAGTGATTGTCTCTTCCTGACGTAGCACAGCATATTAAGCCTGCTTAATAGACATTGTTGAATGCAACAGTAAATGAATAAATGAGAAAATTGGTAGGTGAGTGATACCTTACAGCTTAACAAGGAGAAGATAGAAACTATTTAAAAACAAATGAAGCAAAAAGCATCGCAGTTGGAGTCCACTTGGTATGAGTGTGATCTATCCGTGGATTTTAGAAGTCTTTGATTATAGACCTATAACTCATATTGATAAGTAAGGCTGTTTCTTCAAGAAAAAAGTCCAGGTGTGCTTGGGAATCTTTCTTAGGAAGACAGATATGTGCACCATACACTTCAGGAAACTTTTCATTTGAAAATAAGTATTAAAACATAAAACTTAAGGGAGGGGTAATTTTCAGCAGTCTGGAAAATTCCCTTCCTTGCAATGCCTCATTTCCCTGGTCATGATTTATATCTAGAGTGTGAATAAACTAATGTTGTGAGTTCTCCTCAGGTGGGAATGACATCTCAGAGAAGGATGTAAGTGCAGAATGCAGATGGTTTAGAGATAGGTTCTGACTGAGTCAGTCATGATGAGTGGGGACTCAGTTCCAGTCAACCCCAGCACCGTGGTGACATCCCTAAAAGAGTGCTCGTTACTGCTAGGAAAGGGGGTTAACAGCAAGCATCCACATAACTCACTCCTTTTCTCCACCAAACAATTGACAATTAAGACCCTTGGGCTGAATGACTTGGAGAGCACCTGATGGCAGAGAAAGTTTCCATAACATTACAAAAAGAGAAGAAAACTCCTGGTAGTATGCTCGTAATATTTTGGACAAAGGATGTTCCACAAATGGAAGATGGTATATAAGTGCTATTATTATTTGAGACTTGACTCCAGTTGTGACATAAATCACAGCTCTAGACGAAGGCAACCACAGACACTTGATATCCCCAATGGCAGTCTAGTTCCCACTTGCATGCAGGAAGCAGCATCAGGCAGGACTACAGTTTCAGGAGAAACACTCATTTATCACCAGGATCCTGTTTCCCCTGGCCAGTTAAATAGAAGTGATCTCAACCAGCAGGTTGAAACCCACAGGTAGTGTTTCTTGATCACAGTGAACAGATTGACTTATTCTTTTTTGTTTACAGAATTATGCAAAACTCATTCCTGGAGCTACAGTAGGGCTACTTCAGAAGGACTCTGGAAACATTCTCCAGCTGATCATCTCAGCTTACGAAGTATGATATTTTACAGTTGGCTCTTTTTACTTTCCTTTTTTTAAAATTTTTTTTCATTCAGTTTTGGTATTCAAAAACTCAGATGTGTTTTAGGCAGTTAAGTGCATTCTGATTTGTTAGTAGAAAGAGTACTTATCCAAAGAAAATCTCTCTGCCTTAACGTGCAGCCAAAATATAAATTTTGTTCACATTATTTGCAGATATCCTTCCTGAAAAGTGAGGCAGAAGGTAGAGAAATCATAACCTGATCATAAAGTTAAGGTTATTTTTATAATAATAACCAATAGCAGCACTGTCACTTGCAAAACTTTAATTCTATTGAAAAGACTCCACAAGTCCTATAATTAAGCTCCCCTTTCTCTACCTGAAAAAAAAAATTAGTTTAAAATGAGTAACTGAACTATGTGAAGAACTAACTTCACAGGCTTAATGAGACCACCTCATTACTCAAGGAAAAGAAAAAAGACAAAAGCGTATCAGGAACACGACTTTGTGGATTCTCTACTTTTGAGAACCAAGGAATTTTTCATTTTTATGGAGATATATATAGAAAGATATAGACAGATCTCTCTCTCTCTCTCTACATATATATATGTATATATGTACACATATGTACACATATGTATGCATATATACAAAAATATACATTTTTTTTTTTTGCCTGGACTTTGGAAAATAGTACATCAGGTAAGCATTCCTCCCTTAAAATAAAATACATAGCTATGGAGTTTCTATGTTCTCTTGCTTTGTCCCCATTTCATAATTCAATTAATCATTGGTAGATGGCCAGTTACCAACTCTTTTTTATTTTGTTTCCTAAGTATCATTCCCCTTTTTTGCCTCCACTTACATAGAAAAAACATACATACACACGTGCACACACACACACAGATGGAAATGAAGATTTAAATTAGGACAGAAATGATGGGGCACCTGGGTGGCTCAATCAGTTGAGCATCTGACTCTTGATTTTGGCTCAGGTCATGATCCCAGGGTCATGGGATTGAACCCTTTGTCAGCTCAACAGATGTGTCCATCAAAATTACAGGATGAGGTAGTTTTTGTTTTTTGCTTTTTTAACTTATATCCTCAGAAACTTCAGTTTTCTTGGCTCACATCAAAATTTAACTACCACATTAGCTCAGGCTTGAAATTCTTCCAGATAGGAAAGCTTGTCAACAAAATACTATGAAAACCTTCCTCTCTCTTATGCAGTAATTAAAGTTTTAATGTGTAGAATCTGATAAAATCACATAGCACTCCTCCATGCATTAGAACACACTCCATTTTCTCAAAAGTGTTGGCCACTAACATCTTCAAAGGAATTACGCAAATGAGAAAATTATAAACGTCAAAAACATTTATCCCTCTTGTTTGACCAGCCCCTTCCGTGCTGCCAGGGGTTCTGTCTCACTTTGTGGTCCCAAATTGCTCACATAACTTACAGGGTAGTTGAATCAAGACATCACACATTTGAAGTGAATCTCATTTTACTGTTTCAAAAATATAAACAAGTGTTTATAATTCTTACACTATATAATCTTGCTCCAGAGTTGTTACTGTAACTTCATGATTCACTGAATCAAGTATGTAATAGATTTTGGCACTAGTTCCAATTATTTTTCTATTCTGTTATTTTAAAATGTATTCGACAAAGACATTAAAATATGAGAATCCATTGACTGGATTTCTTTCTAGTCTATAAAAAGAAAGGAAAGAGAATAGATTGAGAGAAAAGATAAAGCACTTCTGACTAACTTCCAGTGGGGTAGAGCTATACAATTTGTGTTTATAACTAGTGACTACAAACTGCAGCTCAGTATTTTACAGTGCCATATTGACATGAAAACCCTTAAACACCACATGTGTATTCATCTGACCATCATTCACTAATTTTCTGCCTTCTTTAACCACCTAATAGAAGCTACTGAAATATCAGTGCTCCCAAGGGTAAGTTCTTCTACTAGCATTTAATTTTTTTTAATGTCTATTTATTTTTGAGAGAGAGAGAGAGAGAGAGAGAGAGAGAGAGAATGTAAATGGGGGAGGGGCAGAGAGAGAAGGAGACACAGAATCCAAAGCAGGCTCCAGGCTCTGAGCTGTCAGCACACAGCCCGACATGGGACTCGAACTCATGAGCTGTGAGATCATGACCTAAGCAGAAGTTGGATGCTCAACCGACTGAGCCACCGAGGCACCCCTAGCATTTAGGCTCCAGAAGGAAAATGACTTGGTTTGGTTTGTTTTGCCTGGTTCATAATAGATGCTCAGTAAATGAATGATAGGATGAAAATATACAAATAAATATTTATAACCTTTCTTTGGGAAATTCACATTAAAATATTCCTGGTGAATTCTGCAATGTGATATTCCAATTATATCAATGCTAAGATCTCGTTTATTTTGGTCAGATCATGTCACCCACTGCTCCTAATTTCAAATCTACAGAACAGACTTGCAGGTCATATCCCTCACCTCTTTTGCTCCTGACTCACTGTGCCACTGTCTCTAACATTACTCTTGCCTTAACTCTTGAGATTTCAGTCTAAGTATATATATATATTCCTTCCTGTACCCTGCCCTCTGTTTCTTGAACTCTGCTTCTAAAATGATCTAGTCCCCCTCTCTTGTCATACCTTAAAGCTTGTCATTGCCAATAGACTCTCTATAATCTCAGCTTCATGTAACCCATTCCCTGCTCACCACTTCCAACCTTTTCAGCTCACCCCTGCAAGTTCCCTTTGTATTTCTTCCAACCCATCAGGATCTCCAACTAATTAACCTTACCTTCTCTCTCTCTCTCTCTCTCTCTCTCTCTCTCTCTCTCTCTCTCTTTACTTCAAGTGACTCTACCCTCTCTTTGTAGTTCCTCATCTCCTTGATGTCCTCTTTTGCCTGGGCCCCAAGCTTAAATTCCACCATCACGATCACTCTGTAGACATACCCTCAGCTCCCCTACCCCTTACGGCTCCACTGAGGTCACTTAGCCAATCATGGTCCTGGTTAAACCCAACTGTCCATTCACCCTGCACAACTGAACAGGAAAGGGAAAAACATACAATCATGCTAACTGGTCTCACTTTAAATTCATGATCATGTACTTGCAGTGGTTCCTCAATGCCACCCAGCAACCACGCTGTACTTCTTTAGGAGACATCCAAGTGGAGAAGTCCACGAGTCAGCTGATACATTAGTTGGCAATTCAGGAGGGTAACCTGGACTCTCCTAAACCTACTTCACCAACAGTTTTCTCCTTCTCAATTGATGGTAATTCCATCCTTCATGTTGCGAGGGCTAAGAAGCTTGAAATGATCCTTGACTCCCCTCTTTCTCTTACCCTGCACTTTTAATCCATCAGAAAACCTTGCTGGCTCTATCTTCAAAATTATTTAGAATTTGATCCAGACACTACCTTCACTGCCCTCATCCTTGTCGGACCCACCATCTTCACTCACATGAATGACTGCAAAAGCCTCCTAAATGCTATTTCTCATTTCTACCTTTGGTTTCCTACATTCTGTTTTCAAGAAAACAAAACAAAACAAAACACAACCTGAATTTTCCTTTAAAAATATTAAGTCGGGTCATATCACTCTTCTATAGATAACCCTAATTATGTTCTCATTTTACATAGAGTAAATGCCAAATTCTTTAAAACTGCCTCCTAGGACCCTCCCAGACCTGTTCTCCTCCACTCCTTTACCTCTGTGACTTCACCTCCTATTACACCAACTGTCTCTGCTCCAGTATAGCAACTCTGGCCTCCTTGCTGTTCTATTTCCAGAGCAAGCAAGTCCTAGGACATGCTCCTGCTCAGGGCCTTTGCACCGACCGTACCCTGTTCCTGGAACACTCTTTTGACATATGCCTGCATGCTATTTAACTCTGCACTTCCTTGAAATGTCACCTTACTTCCTACTGTAACTACTTTTTTAAAGAATTGTAGACACTCTCTTAATCTTCATTATCCCACCCTAACTTTTTTTCATAGCATTTATCACCTTCTAGCATGCTGCATAGTTTTATGTATTATGCTGTTTCCTTTCTGAATGTAAACCACAAAACGTCAGCTATTTTAGTGGTTTTTGCCTCCCAAGCACTTAGAACAGTATCTAGCACATATTGGACACTCAATAAATATTTTCTGGGTGAATAAAGTTATAATATAACTATTTGAAATGAAACAGATGAAAAGAGTACATTTTTATGCTAAATTGGCAGAATTTGAAATCTTAAGACATGATAGAAATAATCTTTAAGGGGTGCCTGGGTGGCTCAGTCGGTTGGTTGTCCAACTTTGACTCAGATCATGATCTCACGGTCTGTGAGTTCAAGCCCCGCATCAGGCTGTGTGCTGACAGCTCAGAGCCTGGAGCCTGCTTCGGATTCTGTGTCTCCCTCTCTCTCTGCCCCTCCCCCACTCATGCTCTGTGTCTCTCTTCCTCTCTCAAAAATAAATAAACATTTTAAAAAACTTTAAAAAAAAAGAAAAGACATAATCTTTAAGACTGAGAAATGACACTTCAATCTCTGATGGAGACCATATTCTGAAAAGTCAGCCTTATGTCCATCTACTGAAGGTGTGTTGGCATGGGGCAAATATAAAAAAAGGGAAGAAGAAGAAGAATGACTGAGAATTTATAGTCAGTGACTTAGAATTCGGAGGAAGGCGGGTCATATTACTCTGCAGTTGGCAAAATTATACTTAAGGAAAATTTGAGGCTGAATATACTTTTAAAATTCCAGGAGTATAGGGACTCAAGTCTTCTTGGATGAACTGAAGTATTACTTAATTCATAATGTTTTACAACTTATTTTTTTTTAATTTTTAAAAGTTCTGTTTTGTTCTCTAGAGACTTTTTATTTTGCAAAAGAAAGAATAAAGTCTACATAATAACACTAGCTTTCCTCATAACAAATAGCTCTTTCTTCTCCTTCCCTGACATTCTTCCTCCTGTAAAACCTTGCCTTTATCTCCCTTCTGCCATAACCCATATGCTTCCTATCTAGTCTTTCTTTCTTCCATCTACGTCATCATATATACCAACCACTCCCGGTTCCTGATCCTCATGCCTCAGGCCGGGGTGAACGCAGCAACGTCCCAGCTTTCTTGACTCCTGTCTTCCTACCACGTCTGTAAGTCTGTAAGTCTGATAGACCATGAGTCTGTCCTGCACACACCTTCCAGAGAACTTCCCTGCAGCTGTATTTTCAGTAGAACGGGTCCCTGCTTCAAAGCTATAGGGAATGTTTCCCATGGGTCTTAACTCATCTCTCCAAACCTCAAGGCTATTTGTTGTCTGGTGTCTCCGAGGACAGTAGGAGTTGGGGCTTCATCTGAGCCCCACTTGTCTGCATTCCACACCACTCTTGGCCCTGAACTTTCTCTTTTCTGGTCCCCTCACCTTAAATACCACTGTCATCCTCTCCACACATCTACATCCAACATAGCCATTAAGGACTTCTATACTTTCAGCCTTCAGTGACCACTCTCTTTTCTGAAATGTCCCAAACCCACATCTGTGTTATGCAATTTTTTTTAACTTAGTGATACATCAGTTGACTTGGACATTAACTGCTTTACTTGTTCCATCTGGTTTTTTTCAGCAAAATGGTAATCATCTTGAGGGCACAAATCCCATTTTACACTCATCCCCCAGACCTGACTCCACACTGATAATGTACAATAGGTACTTGATAAATTCCAATATTGATTTTAAGGAACAGTTTCTCCCACATTTTAACATCTCTAAAATTGGGATGTGTTTTACGATTAATGGTGTCTTACAAATGCTGTCAACTGCAAATGTATGAAATCGGCTGTAACTGTACATGTAGTTGTCACCTGAATTCATTAAGTTCACCATTGGTAGGTAGTACAGGTGTTGAATGTAATTTCCATTTTAAAATACCTTCAAAAAGTTTGCACTATGATTTGATACTGAAATGAAAAGTTACTGTGTATGCAGAAATGTACCAAAACAGAGCAGCAGGGTATCAATTTGATATCAGTGAAGCAAACATTCATTGTTGAAGGAATGACTATAATTCTGTATTCCGTGCAAAGCAACAACCAGCTGCTTTCTGTGACCTAAGAAATGATGATACTTACAAGTAAAGGAAGCTACTATATTTTGTTACTGAGATGCAAGCAAAAAAATAAAAAAGGCTTTTATATGCCAGGCAGTGCAACTGAGGGCTGGAGAATTTGCCAAATCCTTCAGAATGTGTACAATAATTTTCAAAGAAATGATAGACTCATACGATTGATTTAGATGTTGCACAGAGTGATCTTGAGATATTTTGTCATAATGTCATTGTCATAAAATAATGGTGTGTTTTATAATTGATGCCATCTTAGATTCAATAAAATATGACATGTATTTGTGTGTGTGCATGTGTGCGTGCCTGTGTGTGTGTGTGTGTGCGTGTGTGCATGTGTATCTTGCTGGCTTTGTTGTTTGATTGATGGTATGGTGAATTTCTTCTAGACTCAATTTAATTTTATTCATTGGAGCTTAATGAACATGATTCATGGATTCTTCTGGTTGTATTTTGTGGTTGTGACTTTAACTCTTTGCGTCCTCACCAAAGGAACTCCGGTCTGAGGTGGAACTGGAAGTGTTAGGAGACACGGAGGGACTCAACCTGTCTTTCACAGCGATCTGTAACAACGGTGCCCTCTTCCCGCACCAAAAGAAATGCTCTCACATGAAGGTGGGAGACACAGTAAGTAGAGGGTCAATAGGTTGTCTGAAAAAAATATTCAGGTAAGTCAGAAGTTACCTTATTGCACCGAAGCTGAATTTTTTTCCTTTCAAGACTTTCAAAAGGAATTTTCAAAAATTTCGTAAGAAATGCTTTTGGAAGAGCCAATCCCCATGCAGCTCTGTTTCCTCCCATGCATTTTGGGAGGCTACAAGAAGATAATTAGAGTTTTCTTTTCCAGGCTTCATTCAACGTGACCGTGAGTATACCAAACTGCGAGAGAAGAAACAGGCACATTATCGTAAAGCCCGTGGGGCTGGGGGACACCCTAGAAATACTTGTCAGTCCGGAATGCAACTGCAATTGTCAGAAAGAAGTGGAAGTGAACAGCTCCAAATGCCACAACGGGAACGGGTCCTTCCAGTGTGGTGTGTGTGCCTGCAACCCTGGCCACATGGGTCCTCGCTGTGAGTGCGGGGAGGACATGCTGAGCACAGACTCCTGCAAGGAGGCCCCGGATCACCCCTCCTGCAGTGGAAGAGGCGACTGCTACTGTGGGCAGTGCATCTGCCACTTGTCTCCCTACGGAAACATTTATGGGCCCTACTGCCAATGTGATGACTTCTCCTGCGTGAGACACAAAGGGCTGCTCTGCGGAGGTAGGCAGCGTCTAAGTCCACCTCACACTGTGGCTGTGCAAGTATCGAGGAGGGGCCTTGCATCCTTTGAACCTTCCACAGTTGCCTGGGCATAGTAGGTGCTCAATAAGTATTTGCTGATCAAGTGAATGTGTTAATCTCTAGACGTAAGGTAACTGATCTTCTCTTGTAGTTTTTCTGGCTCTTACATTCTCTTGGGGTGAGATGCCTGCCAATTCAATTTACATCTCTATTGCTGTTTCCCTAAGAATAAGTAGGCAAAAGAAGGTTCTTTGGTTATTATCCAGACTTCACAAAATTGCATGTAATCTGAACTCTATTATCTTCCAGACTTTCCTGGATCAGGTTTCCAGATATCTTACCCATCTCTTCTTAAAAAAAAAAAAAAAAGGGGGGGGGGCGCCTGGGTGGCTCGGTCAGTTCACCGTCCGACTTTGGCTCAGGTCATGATCTCACGGTCTGTGAGTTCGAGCCCCACGTCGGGCTCTGTGCTGACAGCTCAGAGCCTGGAGCCTGTTTCGGATTCTGTGTCTCCCTCTCTCTCTGCCCCTCTCCTGTTCATGCTCTGTCTCTCTCTGTCTCAAAAATAAATAAACGTTAAAAAAAATTTTTTTTTAACGTTTATTTATTTTTGACAGAGAGAAAGAGAACATGGGGAGGAGGGGCAGAGAGAGGGAATCCCAAGCGGGCTCTGAGCCATCAGCTCAGAGCCTGACGCCGGGGCTCAAACTCACAAATGAACCATGAGATCATGACCTGAGCCAAAATCAAGAGTCAGACACTTAACGACCGAGCCACCTAGGCACCTCTTAACCAACTCTTTGGAAAAATAAAAAGCAAGGCTGCTTAAGGAGCATATTGCCAAGGACAAGGGACACAGAAATACTAAATGAACTTTCAGGGCCTTCATTCATTCCACACATATTTATTAAACACCTTTTATGTGACAGATACTAGATTAGGCACCGGGTATAATAAAGATGAATAAGGATATGTGTGAAGAACGCTATGGAATGGGTAAAAATGAGAAATTGCTTGGAAAATTTTTAAGATCAAGAAAATTTTGGGGGCACCTGGGTGGCTCGGTCGGTTAAGCATCCGACTTCAGCTCAGGTCATGATCTCACGGTCCGTGAGTTCGAGCCCCGTGTTGGGCTCTGTGCTGACAGCTCGGAGCCTGGAGCCTGCTTCAGATTCTGTGTCTCCCTCTCTCTCTGCCCCTCCCCTGCTCATGCTCTGTCTCTCTCTCTGTCAAAAATAAATAAACATTAAAAAAAAAAAGAAAGAAAATGTTTAAATAGCAGAAAAGTGTATGTTTTAAAAATCCTTTGCACATGGAAAATTGCTACAGTTTAAGACCTAGTCTAAGAATAGTTTAAGAATAACTATTATAAAGTCATTCTGATATATATCCATAGATTTAAGTATAATCTATCTGCATAAGAATTACAAACGTGTTCATATTCTTTAAAATGATATAAATTTGTGTTACAACTGGAATATTAACTAACTGCTGAATTGAAGCTCCCAATGTCTCCCTTTTTCACAGTGTGTGAACAGGCAGCTTTTCAAAACAGAAAGCCATTATCTTTAAAGAAATCTAAGCAAGTTATGTTTTCAAACCACAGTGTCGGGAACATATAAAAGAGATTGATTCTCGGGAAAAAAAGGGCTGAGAAGAGCAGCCTCAAAGAATTCCAGGCTCTTTGAAAAAACCGTGTGATGCCTTTGGAAGCGTACCTCCATTTCATTTCTTTGCGGTGGCTCTTGCTACCAACAAGTTCCTCCGAGGCCGCCTTCTTTCTTCTCCCCAGAGAGCGAAAAATTTAGGGTCTGTCCAGACTGAGACACTTTTCTCTCCCCTTTCATTCAGAGGTCTATTTCCTTATTTAATGGGTGTGTTTCCAAACCCATATCAGTTCTCTTCTCACAAGATTGCAGGCAGGAGACAGCCTGAAGCCTGCGGCTGTCACCATGTCTTGAACAGGATATGCTCCGCAGATTCCCAGATTGCATCTCTCATAAAACTCTTTGAATAAAATATGTTCTCAAAACATTTGAAATTACCTTTCAACAAAATTCTATGTGCAGCCTAATATGATATGATAGCGATAGTACCCCTACCTATATTTCACCTTTTAAATCTTAAATCAAAGAATTCCAGAGCAGGGCTGAACTGTGCTTAGCAACACAGTTCTTAACGTTTCTTAATGGTCTTCTACTGCATTTGGTACCACGTATGCACACGGAATTGAACTCTTTAAAAAGAGTGGACTTGATCTGTGCCTCGTAGTTTGAGAGGTCTGGCAGTAGGGCCTCTCTCTGTATCAGATACAGTGATTGCTAGAGAAGTTCTGTCTAGATAATGCAATTATTTCTGCAGTTGGACTAAGAAAACTTCACCAATGCCCGGTGCCTTCATATTTGGGGATACTTTACAATTCTCAATCATTACTGTTTCTCAGAAGCTATTTTGTTTGTAGCAACATCGCAAAAGATGTTACTAGGTCATTAGTAACTTTCTCTTTAAAAAGGTATAATAAAAGCAAGTACTATTATTCAAATTCAACAAATAGTTGTGGAGCACCTACTAGGTGCCTGGCATCGCATTTCGCGCAGGGATGGAAACTGTGACTTGCTCTGTGGTTACTGTCGTTTGTAACAGAGGCCAGAGTGTGCTACCGATTCACTTCTCGTGCAGATCTCTCTGATTTTACAACTAATTCGCCCTGCAATGTGCCACTTCTCTGAAGGGCTATTACCACAAGGTTCTTCTTCGTGTACTTTCTTTCATCCACCTATAAGTACTCCATCGATTTATTCCCTTGCCCAAATTCCATTAGTCCTTTGTATTTTGATTCTAAGAGACGGGAAACTAACAGGCAAAAGGCATTACAGAAAATACTTCCTGCCATTATGCACTTACAATTATCAGTCAATGGCATTCCAGAAAGATCTATCCCTCTGAAAAGAGCCTAACCATTTTTTTTTTTAATCTTTGTTTATCATCTTGCCTCTGCATGAAGCCATTGTGTGGGTCTTGTTGTTCTTTTTGTGGTTGTGGTTATATGAGCAGGTACTTTAGATAATTGGTTGCTTGTGAATATCAACTAGCAACAATATGGTGGATGGTTCTGGAAAGCCCACAGAAAGGTTTCTAAATTCTGACAGAAGCTCTTGGGAGAGTTTTCTAAATTTCTGCTAAATAATTCTCTTTTTGTAAAGTTTATTTATTTGAGAGAGAGAGAGAGAGAGAAAGGGGGAGAGAGAGAGAGAATCCTAAGCAGGCTCCACACAGTCAGCGAGAAGCCCAACGTGGGACTTGAACTCATGAACCATGAGATCATGACCTGAGCCAAAATCAAGGGTCAGACACTTAACCAACCAAGCCACCCAGGCGCCCCTCTGCCAAGTAATTCTTACATGCAGTGATACACTTGGGCATTCGCAAAGGAAGTGCACATTTCATTTGACAATATTTATAAATCATATTGATTTTCTGGAATAAACTTCAATATAGAAATCTATCCCTACTATGAGAATAAGTTTCCCCTTTTGCTGAGGAAGGAACAAAAAGCAATCGTAGTTTAGAGGATAATTTAGATGAGACATGTCTGCTGCAAGTTCCCATGTGTCTCCTCCTTCAAGCAGCTTTGCTCTGCCCTGGGTTTCTGCAGCTTTGCACTCATTGATCTCCTACCTCTCAGTCGTCCTGGTAAGATCTTTTTTCTGATCACATTTTAAATGCTGATGCTCTCTAGGGCTTTTTTCGCTCTATCTGCTTTCTCTACCTGATCCACAACAGCTTTAATTGCCATCTGTCTCTGATGGATCCAAACCTCAAAACTCTCTCTATAGATATAGATACATAGATACATATATCTGTCTATTAGAATGTCCCACAGGCCCCTCAAACTCAACAGAGCCAAAAATGAACTCATCATCTTCCCCACCCAAAGATGCTCTTCTTCCTCTGCTTCAGAACAATGTATTCATTCAACAATTAAGCACTACTCTGTGCCAGGCACCACGGATAAGGCAGCAAGCATGAGCTGGCAGCCTCCATTCCAGGTCAGTAAAAAGGTTGCACCGTTCACTGAGCAGCCCAGTCTGGTTACCTGGGGAAGATTCCATCCCTCTCTCTCTTCCCCTCTCCCTCCACCCTGGCAGCAAGTACACTATGCCCTTGCACTATTCCAACCCCTGAACTGTATCCCCTTTCCTCTCCATCCCCACTGGCACTGTTAGGGCCTCATGTCTTCTCGCCTCTACTGCTGCAACACCTTCCCGAGTGGTTTTCCTATCTCTCATCTGACCCTCTCTACTGATGCCAGGATATTACCAGACACATATCTATTTGTTCAGTCTCTCCTCTACTTAAAATTCCATAATTGTCAGGATAACAGGTCTTACTTTAGCCCATAAAGCTTTTCATGTGATTTTTGTGATGTGATGTGATTTCTGACTTTCCATGGATCTTTCCAACCCCCACCTCCTCCAACCTCCCCTCCTGCCACAGCTCCTGTGCACCATTGGCTCTGTCTATATGAAACTACTCTGGGTATCATGCAGGTCACACAAGGGTCACCTGGGTGGCTCAGTTGGTTAAGCGTCCCACTCTTGGTTTCAGCCCAGGTAATGATCTCACAGTTTCATGAGTTCAAGCCCTGAATCGGGCTCTGGGCTAGCAGCTCAGAGCCTGCTTAGGATTCTCTTTCTCCCTTTCTCTCTGCCCCTGCCCCACTTGCACTGTCTCTGTCTCTGTCAAATAAATAAATAAAACTTAAAAAAAAAAAAAGCCAGTCCCATGATTACACACTTCTGTCTTTTACCTATGCTTTTTTGTCTAATTAAAATGCATATAAACATCTTCTACCTTTTATCTGTATCTTCCAAATTCAGCTCAAGCATCACCTCTTCTGGAGAGGTCTCCAAATCTCTGGTCCAATTTGGAAACTCTCCTTCTGTGTACATAACACTTATCACACTGCAGTGTATTTATTACTGGTGGTATTTATTTGCCTGTTTCCAATACTAGCCTATAAGCTTCGTGACCTTATTTAATTTTGTATCTTCATGCCTAATGCAATCTTTGGCACATGATATATGCTCAATTAAAGTTTCTTAAACAAATGAATTTGTTGAGCACTCACTGTATGCCTGCAGGACATCTAATTGGTGAATGTGAAGTAGAAGATTTACACATTATCTCATCTGACCACACCGCTGTAAGATTTTATTCCCTCTATTTGATAGATGAGGCTTTTATGATCACTCAGCTTGAATGATGTAGAGGTGGGTATTACCCAGGTCTGTGCTGCATCTCTATCTTATGGCACCATAATTAAAAGGAAAAATTTGTAAAAACAATTTAAATACACACACACACACACACACACACACACACACACACACAAAATCACACCCCCCCCCCCCCCACAAGTTGCTGTTATAGGCTTCTGGATTATCTCATCTGGCTCTAAGTTCTGTTTGATATAACATCAGGTAATCAAATCAGTCTTCAGTTAAGAGACCAGATCAATAAATATACATACTTAGCAAAACTTGTTCCATAAAATATATCTATGCTCACTGCTTCCCCTCCCACCCCCACTCAACTTTTTTCTCATTCTTCTTCTTCAGTCTTTCTAATGGTGTTTAAAGGCAAAGAGAAGGGGCGCCTGAGTGGCTTAGCCTGTTAAGTGACCGACTTACGTTCAAGTCATGATCTCACGGTTCATGGGTTCGGGCCCTGGATCGGGCTCTGTGCTGACATTTCAGAGCCTGGAGCCTGCTTCGGATTCTGTGTCTCCCTCTCTCTCTGCCCCTCCCCTGCTCACGCTCTGTCTCTCTGTCTCTCAAAAATAGACATTAAAAAATGAAAAACAAATAAATAAATAAAGGCAAAGAGAAAAGATGGCCCCAGAATCAGAAGTGGCGTGGGCCCTAAGCATCACCGGGTGTTTGTTTCACAGATAACGGCGACTGTGACTGCGGCGAGTGCGTGTGCAGGACGGGCTGGGCGGGCGAATACTGTAACTGCACCACCAGCACCGACGCCTGCGTCTCGGAGGACGGGGTGCTCTGCAGCGGGCGAGGGGACTGCATCTGTGGCAAGTGTGTTTGCACGAACCCGGGGGCCTCTGGACCCACCTGTGAACGTTGTCCTACCTGTGGCGATCCCTGTAACTCCAAACGGTAATGTCTCAACTTCCCTTGGTCTCTTTACTCGGACCTCATATTGCTTTTGGTGGGTTTGTTCTCCGAGCATCCACCCAAATACACAGACCCACAGGGCCCCTGTGATCGTCAACCTGGAACGTCAGTGTCCGACTTGACTCTTTCTTTGTCCTGCTTATTATCCAGGACCACAGTGTCACTCACATTCCTGCTAGAAACAAGCCTGGGGAAGCTGAGCTGATGTCCCACACTGATAACATCAGGTGGCCTTTCACTTACAATACCAGCCACACAGAAGGAATACCCTGGAGGTAGACTGAGGACATCCACATTCAGTACCTTTTCAGGGGAAACAGACAAGCTTCTTTCTTATCTAGAAGTTTAAAGCTTGACCTTCCTGATTCATTCCTATCTATAGACTCGTGGAGGCAAAAAGGCAGAAAGAGGATCTTGGCTTTCCATTTCTTCCCTCTTCTTTACCTCTCGTGCCTTTTGGCACCTCCCTCTGGTTGTCATTCTACACAGCTATTGTGTTTTGTATTTTCTTTTATACCAGATGAACAACAACAACAACAACAACAACATGTTTTTGTTTTCCAGTAAAAAAAAAAATCTATTCCTTTGGTTGCTAGCTAACTTCTTCATGGGTAGTGGGGGCAACATTTATAGGTCAAACAAAGCAAGTCTCCAAATGGGCTGTGTGATGACACTGCAGAATATAATTTATTATACAGTGAACACTGCTTAAGCAGTTCATAGTTTCGTTAACTCCGTACCCAACATGGTAACATTTGCATTTCCAGTGTAAACTAAGTAAGCAAATCAATATTCACTCAGTGACTCCTCACCGTTCAGGTGTCAAAACTTCTCTGTCACTGTGCCTGGACATATGCCAAGAGATGTGTGGGGACATAGTTAGACTTAGTTGAACAGAATTAAATGTAAAACGTCCTTTCAGGATGTTTCTCCCGTTATTTATCTGCTTCACCTTCTCAGTAAACATGATTTAATTTAAATCTGGTTTATAGAATGTGAAATTAACAAACCAGGTAGTTTGAATTTGAGGGATCAGGTAATCTCCTTGGTGTTTATGTTAGCTTTGAGTGTTTATATTAGCTTTGAGATGTGTCCATTCTTCCATTTATTCATTCATACATTCGTTTATCAAATAGATATTAAGTACCTACTGTTCACCAAGGGCACATAATGATGACTGAAACAGTTATAGTTCCTGCCATACCAGGTGCTAAGAATCTAGTGGGAAAGACAGACATTTTTTAAAGTAATTATAATGATATCTGAGCTGACAGTTACAATAAGGGATATAGAGGGGACTATGGCACTATATGGCAGGCCTACCACCCTAGCTTGGGCAGACATCAATGAGACATACAAACGGTAGAGGTTTTAAGGGTTTCCACAATGTCCAGCAGACCCCTGCAAAGCCACTCTAAGTAAATATATAACCTAGATAAATGCAACATACTTGCATTGCAAAGGCAATTTCCAGACAAGACTTCTCTCCCCACCCCCACGTAAACTGCTGCTTCTTAGCCCTTCCTACAAAGGAATTCAGAGGTTTGCACTGTAAGAGAACTAACTGGCAGGAGTCAGGGAAGGCTTGCCTAGGGCACTGCGGTTTCAGCTCATACTGAGGGAAACACTGATGGCACGGCTGTGGGGAATGTTTCCAGCACTTACAAGAGCATACATTTGCATGGCCTGGGGAAGAGAGAGAGGCAGGATGATGAGTGCCCATAGTAAGAGAACTTTGGCTGTTTTGGATTACTCCATACAGAATCTGGTTATAAAGTGATTTTTAGCATAACATTAATTCAGAGTCTGAGTTTTACTCTGCTGTGGAGACATCATTAGAGAAGCTTAATTCCTGGGCTATGTTCTTGAAAATACACTTTTCTTTAAGTAGAGTTCATTTATTAAAAAGCCCACATTAATGGGGACCCAAGCTGTAACCCCAGCTTTTGAAAATATGCCTGTAAGGCTTAGACTCATTCAAAATAGCTACAGATAAGTGAATCTTTGAAATAGCCTTTCATGACATGTATGAATTCTTAGAATTCTTCTCAAAACAGATGATTTCTGTTAAGAAATTAAAACTTTGTTTAGTCATGAATCATATTTTAACAGCATAAACCTTTCCCAGGAAAATGTAAAATGAACAACAACCACCAAAAAAAAAAAAAAACCCTAAATCAAACACCAATATAAGTGTGTCTTATTATTGGGGTTTTTTTTTTTGTTTGTTTCTTTGTTTGTTTGCTACTTAACCAATCAGAAACAATTATTAGAGATAAATGAGGATAACAGCTACTGTCAAGCCTGGTTCAGGAAACACTGATTACTAAATGGAATCAGAATAAAGCAGTTTCCTCTTGAACATCACTCAAATATCTTTCTGAAAGTAACAAAAAGCAACATCCTTTATGAGACACTCCTACGTCATGAGCCATAGTAACAGCATTAAACCATTAAAGCAATAACCCAGCTACATATCTGTTTTCCAACAACATGAACTGATAAACTCTACTGAATAATGTTCACAGGAGCTGCATTGAATGTCACCTGTCTGCCGATGGCCAGGCCCGAGAAGAATGTGCTGACAAATGCAAACTAGTTGGTGCGACCATCAATGAAGCAGAAGGTTGTACTTGTCTCCAGTTGCTTTCTTTTTCTTAGCATAGGTTTTGAGAACAGAAACGCCATGAAGTGCTTTTCAGTAACTAATCTCATTTGAACCAGGGCATTAGTTCAACACTAGTTTTGTTGTTGTTGTTGTTTTAAGTTTATTTATTTTTTGAGAGACAGCAGGAGAGGCAGAGAGAGGGAGAGAGAGCATCCCAAGGAGGCTTTGCACTGTCAGCGCAGAGCCTGACACGGGGCTGGAACTCACGAACTGTGAGATCATGACCTGAGCCAAAACTGAGAGTCAGATGCTTAACCGACTGAGCCACTGAGGCGCCCCAGCAACATTAGGATTTAAGAGTAAATGCATTCCGTAAGGCTAAAAACATGATGGCTTGGGATACAAGCAATTTCAAGTCATAGCTATTCTATTTGGCTTCAGCTCTGTTGGCAAATTCACCTCTGCTTCACAAAAAACAACTGCAGAGAATTCCAGAATGCTATGTTTAATTAGAAAAGAAGAAAATTTGAAAAACAGCTAAATGTTAATCTCTTAACCTGAAATCATCCTCTATCATCTGATTGCCCTATTTGAAGACTGGACAAGGCAAAGTATGATATGGGTTTCCTGAGAGCAAGCCTCAGGCACAAGGCAGTTTCTGGTTAGTAGCCATTTATTCCTCCATCCCTTCTCTGTGCTTTCTGAGCATGAGTGTTACATGGCCACCCTTAATTCCCTGTTGCCTCACTCCCCCAAAACAAGAAGGGCCTGTTATCTTTAACTGCTAAGCAAATTCTGCTCTTGCTTTCACCTGTCATTTTAAAATCTAATTATTTAAAATAAGATTCTTTTTAAAGGCAAAATGTCATCTCAAATACTTAAATAGGTTGTATTTTAGCTGGCAAGGCCATTTAAACAAATAATTTGTAAAGAAGGTGCCTGACTCTTCCTGAAGGGCCAATCTAGGGGGATTAGTTTTTCCATCATCCCAAGCTCTCTGCATTCCCATCTTGCTCAGGCAGAACCGCTCGCTGCCCTACACACATGAGAGCAGTGACCAAGATGTATCTCAGGCGAAGTGCAATAATCAAGACAATTTATGACACTCTAGGATACATATCTTGAAGAGACAGAAATAAAGAAATTAATTCATTTCCAAAGAGGAATAAGTTAGTGGCGTTTATTGTTTTAAAAATTACCTACATTGTTTCAAAATTGAGATTTCTGACTGTGCACAGTTGAATATGCCTGCACGGAGGAGCATGATTAGTGCTCATAAAACTCCTCTTCTGTTCTTTTCTGGTGACTAAAGATAAATATGCCGAATAGCCATAAATTGGACAAGATGGTGTGTACCTTACACTAATACTGAAAGCAGGATGCAGTAAAAGCACTGAGGAAAGTAACATTTGTGGACCATCCACATTAGTAACTAGTTCAAAGTCAAAGCATATCCCCGGGCTTCATTTCACAGCAAACAGTTGAGATATTTAGCAAGTGTTTCTAAGAAATGGCTAAAAATTGCAGAAAAATGTCCTACAAATTACTAGAACACCATTCACCAGCAGCATGGGAAATCTAATGTGCTAAGGGGAAAAAAGGAATAAACCTTGGAAACATGTAAGTCATGAACAGAGTTGCTATATTTAAATACACAGTTTTCAAGTAATTATCATAAATTCTTGGATTTCAGAGGAACACTGGGCCTCAAGTGGCATTTAAAATATTTGCATTATTCTTTTTGTGTAATTAGATAAATTATCTTCAAAATAGGGGAATACAATTATTTGTAACTCAGAAACTGAAAATATTAACTGGATTTCTAATACCATTTAAGGCACTAACCTTGTTGAATTTAAGAGAAAAAACATATTTGTCAGCCTGTGAATTAAAAAGTTACTTTTCTGGGGTGCCTGGGTGGCTCAGTCTGTTGAGTGTCCAATTCTAGATTTTGGCTCAGGTCATGATCCCAGGGTCGTGGGATCAAGCCCCATGTCAGGCTTTGCACTAAGTGTGGAGCCTGCTTATGATTCTCTCTCTCTCTCTCTCTCTCTCTCTCTCTCTCTCTTTCTCTCTCTCTCTCTCTCTCTCTCTCCCCCCCTTTACCCCTCCCCTGCTTATGTGCTCTCTCTCTAAAATAAAAAAAACAAAAATAAAAATGTAAAAGTCACTTTTCTAATGAGACTTTTATGAGTTCTATTTCAACTTATGCAGTTATGTCATTGATCACATCACCTTGAAATTATCGTCATGTATTTGCTCTCACATAGGGTCTTCTCTCAGCCCCACCTTTTCCCGACAAGGATATGGAGAGTAAAGTAGAAGAGCAAAACTTTATAATCCAAATACATCGTTCCTCAGCTCTGCTGTGGGGACTTGTGTGAGCATTTCTAAAGACATGTGGCTTAACTTTACTCATTCCATTTTAGTGAAAGACCCTTTTTAATCTACCCCAACATTAAGGTACTCAGAGCATTATTACTCAAAGTGTGTTCCATGAGAACACTAATTCTAAAAGTGTTGAATGGAAAATAGCATCCACGGTCATATAAATTTTGGAAATGGGGAGCTAAGCTTTTTGTTTATTTTGCGACTCCTGAAAAATTATGCACATTATATTAAATATGCATTGTGAATTTTCAGGAGAGGCATAGAAGGAATTGGAGTAAGGAAGGATTCCCAAACTTGTTTGACCACAGAACCCTTTTCTTTTTCCTTGGGAAACTGTTTCTCTGAGAACTACTGACCCAGCCCCAAAGCACAGGTCCTAAACACATAGGTGTCTTAATTCAGTAGTACAGATGGTTTATATTTCTATATCCTTCCTGGACCTTCCCGGATGCTGGCCTCCTCACCCCCATTCTCACATTTCTTCCTTTTCTAAGTATAATTTCATGGACTGCCCGAGACCTTATTTTCATTGTATTATTCTGGAGCAGCACTGCTGGCACTTAATAAAGAAGAGTAAAAAAGAAAGGTCCATTTCTTAATGAACAACAAAAGAAAACCTTAACAGCTAATTATGCAAATCTTCAGCCCAAGCTGGACTCTTTCATTGCACATTCAATAATACCATTTTAATACCCAAACACTACAAAACTGGCTAAATCTAGTCATAACAGTCATGAAAAGGAGTGGTGAAGTAATTAAAGCAAGAAGGGAGTCATGATGCAAAGGTCATATTAACAGTTCCATTAAAAACTTAAATAATCCTAGTGAAGTAAATTAAGCCTCCCTGTGCTTCAGTGTAGCTATTTAAAAGAAAATAAAAGAGCAAGATTAATATTACTGAAAGGAGTATTATAAGCTATCCACATATTTTCTACCTTAGAATAAAATGTTCCGTTAAGTAAACTTGGGAGGAAGAGTGGTTGTGCACAGTCATGGTGGAGAGGAGGAAGGGGAGAAAAAACACTCTAACAAGAAAAAGCATATTCTCCAAGACTTCATGAATTCTAGTTAATTGGAGTGGTTTGGTAGGAGGACATGTGGTAAAGGTTATCTAAAAATGACCAAAGTATGAATTATATATGCAGTGCTATTGCATGAAATAAATGCAATAAATAAATCCCAGGTGATTTACATGATCATAAACATTTGGGAATGACCAGATGAGAATGATTTATAATTCGACTTCTTAATATTCTTATGTAAATAGATGCTTCTAATGGATTCAAAAGCAATTTTTTCACTTAAATTTATCATCTGAAATCTTATTAATAATGGTAAATGTTTTACTCATTCCTTTTTTTCATAGATAATATGAGCATTCTTCTTATAGACCCTGACGTGAGGTTTTTATCTTATAAATTAAATGCAAAACCAACTTAATATCTTCCTTTCTGTGGCTACAGCATTGTTGAACAAAAAATAGCATATTATTTACTTTGTTAGAATCAGAGGAACACATGTAGATTCTGTTTTGTTAAAGCTCATGTTTAAGCTAATGGGAAAAGTTATAGATCTAGCAAGAGTATGTCTAAGGTTATCTGAGACTGTCCCAGTTTCAATATTCTGACTCACTGTGTCATCATACACTAATATTGGATCATATGTCAAAATTTTAGGTTAAAAGAAAACATTTGTTCCATTTACAGGGTTCTGAAAAAAGTTTTTGTATCATTTGTATCAAAAACAATATCATTACAAAGTCTCCAACTTAGAAGATAGGAGAATTTTAAGCAAGATTTTTTTTTTTTAATTTGGAAAATGCTACATAATTTTGGCATAGATACCAAACCTCTAAAACTTCTGATAAATAGTACTAACATCTTGGATTGACCATTTTACTATATTTTCAGTTTCTGTATGACATTCATTTTCTGCCTCTTGAATAAGCTCAATAAGAGTTTATTTGAAAAAGATTTGAAGAAAACTGGATTACGTTTGTTTTTTAAACTAAAAAAGGGGGTTATACTGAATAGTAGGCAAACTGTCAACTGGGTTCCTTTTAATCTGGGGTTTACTTTCATCCTACTAGTCCCTGAGCACATAAGACCTCAATGGCCATTTCCTGATATTAATGTATATTTACTGTTGTGACAATACATGACCATCAACTTGACTGTGGGAAAGGCCCCCTTAGAAGTATCAGTATCAGTTTGGGCTGTGCAGTCTTTTTCTGAAATGTAATCTAGGCTTCCTCCCAGATGCTTCCAGCCAAGAGGAACATACAGCCCTCTCAATGCCACAATCAAGGCCATTCTATTCCCAAAACATCCAGGCATACCTGCCTTCAAGTACTTTCACTCTATTGAAATCCTGCTCCCATTAGTTTGATAAGTGCATTTGATGGTCAGTACTGATTGACCACACCTGGAACTGTTCTTCTGGAACATGAGTAGAAACTAAAACCTCAGTGGTGGGAAAAATCCTATGTCCTTTTGATTCCTATTCTGCAATGTCAAAAATTCCTATTTGCATATTAAAACTCAATGCCACTTTGCTTTAAAAATAATCTTTTTTGGAATCTCATTTAATCTAATGAATGACTCCTTTATCTGCAGATTTTTCAAAGGATAGTTCTGTTCCCTGTTCTCTGCAAGGAGAAAATGAATGTCTTATTACATTCCTAATAACTACAGACAATGAAGGGAAAACCATCATTCACAGCATCAATGAGAAAGGTGGGTGGCATGCCTTCTATTGTCAATGGTAAGTGATACTACGTGGGGGAGGAGGAAACAACCAGAAAGACACTTGGGGTAGCTTTCCACGAAAGGCATTTCCAGAATTTTGATGGAGTGGTTCTACTTTCCCAGGGATTGAAATATACCTGTTGAGAGGTTTGATATGGTCCAATGTCTGTTACTTAGACCACAAAACATGATGAGCGCATTTGTACCAACCATCATCTCCCCAAAAGCTGGCTGAGGGTTTGTAGAAAGAAGGACTGACTGAATGCAATGTAAGCAAAAGGTATATCTTTAAGAAAGGCTAACAGGGAGGAGCATAATACTCTAAAAGGATGAGATTTGCATCAGGCAAACCTTGGTTCAAATCCTGCTCTAACCACTTAATAGCTGCTTGACATTCTGGAAGATACTTGCCTCTGAGTCTCCTCATCTGTAAAATGGGAAAAATAATAGTACCATCTTCTAAGGGTTGACTCAAAGATTAAATGGAATAATGCATATAAAACATGTGCCAATTCATAACCTACAACAATGGGTCATTGAGCCAGAAAAGACATGAAACATCAAATGAAGAAGAAAGTGATCCACAAAGGAAGTCAGGGTCCTTAGCTTCTTAGGTTTTCAACACACCAGCTCATGGAGTTTGCTTAGGACCTGGGAAGCCCTCAAGTAAAAAATCTCGAAAATCTCAGAGAGAAGTTTATATTGGGTAGAAAATAGTGGAAAAGATACTTTTGTCCAGAAGTTTTAAATTTTAGTGAGTATCAGACTCAGCTGGGGAGCTTGCTAAACTGCCTGCATCCTGAGTCAGCAGGTGTGATGTGTGTCCCAGGACTCTGCATTTTAACACTACTCTGCTACAGATGGCTTCCAGACCTCCCTGCCTGCATTCTTAGATATTCACAAGTGCCTCACCTTTTCTGTCTTCAATTAATGACGTGTTCCTAAATCTTTCTGGCAGAAATGACACCTGCATTAAATCAGATCGCTCCAGCTCTCGTCAGCAACCTCTTCCTCCTCCTACCCCCAAAAGCGTGGAGCCTAAGTTCTGCCCCAGAAAACAGCAGCAAGGGAAGGCTAGCAGGCAGATGTATTTTGTTGTGTGTGCTTGCTTATCAGTGTGTCAACAAAATAGTAACTCCTAAATTTGAAACCAAGGATATCAAACTGCCATCACTAAAGTGTGTAAAAACGAAAGCAATACCAATGTAACCAAAAAGTAAGTTCAAGATACTATAAACCAACCAAGAAAACATGATTAGAAAAATATCACAGTATAGTATTAGGGGTCAAGGGGAGGCAGAAGTCAGCACAATACAAGATACAAGAGTATGATTGTGACCTTGGCCTTGAAGCTCAGGTGGGCAGAGTGCACCTGGAGACTTGCTCTTGAAAATCTATGAATCAACTTCTTTGAAATGCATATATAAAATGCTTTGTAGAGGCCATTAGTTAATGAAATTTAAGGTGAATCCTGCTGCACAAAGAAGAATTACTTAGTACAAAAAACCTGGCTCCTCATTATGTGTTTTATAAAGCCAGATTCATGAACTACATCCCCCCAACCCTCTACTTGTAACCATGGCAGTGGCTCTAGCAAGTTCTCGTGAAATATAATATTGATTCCATTGGAAAAATGAGTTTTAAGCAACAAAAATGAACTTCCAGAATTGTCTTTAATTCAGGGGCTTTTGTATCTGGTAGGTTTGATTTTTATTTTGAGTGTGTGTGTGTGTGTGAGTGGGAGAGAGATAGAGAGAGAGAGAGAGAGAGAGAGAGAAAGAGAGAGAGAGAGAGAAACATGCCTTTGGCTGACAAATGCCCCCTCATTACTGAACCATTGGGTTTGTGTGTGTGTGTGTCTGTGTGTGTGCTTCCACACAATCTGAGTGGCACATAAACATGACGTCCTTCTGAAAGCACTCAGACTCCCTGATGACTTTTTATTAAGGCTTTTTATTCTCCCTATGCTTTTGTAGTAGCGAAAAGTGAGGGGAAAATTACCTCCCTGAGGCTTAACAGAAGTCACCTGACAGCTGCAAAGATGCTTCTCCCTGGCAAGATTCATGTTCCTAGGTAGGCCCCGAGCTTCCAGGGGCCCTGAGGGCAGAGTCTGCCCTGGAACCTGCAGGCCCTTCTCACAGCTATAAGACCAGAGAATCCCATGGTGGGGGATCAGAGGCAAGGATAGAAAGGAGGAAGTGGATGCTAAGGATTCCCACAGTTCTACAAACAGATTTAAATAGAAACCAAGTGAACAGTCAGTATCAGGGTGTGTGTGGATGTAGGGACAGCTTTGCTCATCTTTTTTCTTCCATCTGGAAAAACTTTCAGAGGATAAAAGCCAGTCAAGAAATGACATTTGAGGGACACCCGGGTGGCTCAGTCGGTTAAGCGTCCGACTTCGGCACGTCATGTTCTTGAGGTCTGTGAGTTCGAGCCCACATCAGGTTCTGTGCTGACAGCTCAGAGCCTGGAACCTGCTTCGGATTCTGTGTCTCCCCTCTCTCTCTGCCCCTGCCCTGCTCATGCTCATGCTCTGTCTCTCTCTCCTTCAAAAAAAAAAAAAACCCCAAAAAAAAAAAAAAAAAAAAAAAAAAAGAAATGATATTCAGGAGCCTTCCTGGCAGGGATGTGGATGTGGATTTTATACCCACAGGTTCCAACATGGAGGATCCAGGTCCTTGAAGTCTTGAGAATAGAAAAGGAGGAAGGATGTATTTGCATTTTTAAGAATAGGAATAACAATAACAGTAATAGCTCTCATTTATTGAGCCCATACTAATGCCTTATGCCAGGTATTGTTCTATATGTTTTACATGCGTTAATTCTTTTAGCCCCCTCATATAACAACCATATAAAGCAAGTATTGCTATAATTTCCATTTTACAGATAAGGAAATTGAAGCAGAAAAGTTTAAAAATGGGTTAGGTCTTGCAGCAATTAAGTACCAGTGCTGGTTAGGGAATTCTGGCTGGCTGGCTTAGAGCCCAGGCTCCTAACTCCTGTGCGATACTGCCTCCCACTGGCTGTACGATCATAATAAGTACCTGACTCCCAAAAATACGTTACATCAGCATCAATAGAAAGGTCATGCAAACCACACATGTAATTTAAAATTTTCTAGTAACTGCACCAAAGAGTCAAAATCTGGTGCAATGAATTTTAATCATATGTTTTATTTAATTCATATCCGAAATATTGTCATTTAGCAATACCCAAACTACTGACATGCTTTATTTTTTTCCAAACTAAGTCTTCACAATCAGTGTGTATTGTATACTTACCACACCACCTAATTCAGAAAAGTCATGTTTCCATGCTCGGTTAGCATGTGACAGAGCTAAAAGTTTGGACCTTAGAATTAGGTGGCAGTGGCCAGGACTCGACAGGCAATACTGCACACCGTGGTGGAGATGGCCCTCTTTTCCCACCTAGAAATATGTCTTCAGTCTGAGCATTTCAGGAAAAAACTAAAGAGAAAATATACAGTGGAGATTTCTATTGTGTGATACCTGCCCTGGTACTTGGGCCGAAATCTTTTCTTGAGAAATGTATGATTTCTCAAGGTATAATGTATTCTCAATGTATAAATGTATAATGACTCTAAGTTCTTAAAAAATTGTCTCTGCCAAGCTGTGCCTGTTCCTCCTTTATTTATTCTCTACTGGAGAGCCCTCCTAATTCACATTCTGGTGGCAGGGTCCTAGTAAGCTTCATCTTGCTTTCGGCAAGAACATGCTATGATGCCCCATCCCAAACATTTCATTGTCAAAGATGCAGCTAGTGTATATTCTCACTGACACACGCCTCCCACTTTCTTTGCAGGAGTGTTGCTAACCTCTTAGAAGCAGCCACGGTTCATCTGCTGTGCTAGAAACAGTCTTTAGATCTTCATACTGGAGTCGCTATTTCATTAGCTCCTTTACTTATTTCTGCATAATCTCCTTACATGGTGTTTTTGTCCAAAGAACAAAAGTGTCTGAGGCCAAGCATCATGCTGTTGTAGGGTCATTAGTCCTGCTCAAATTCAGATCAGTTATAGATCCTTACCTTGAAAGCAGCATCACTCATCCCATGTGTATAACTCTCCTGATTAAATATCTAAAAGCAATAAGAGTTAGGCTAAACTAAGCATGATTCATTTCCTCCCCAGATACCACAGATTTGCCTCACTTCTTGCAGAGGGAGGCAGATATTTAATGATAATTTTTATGTGGGATTTTTTTTCCTCGTGAAAGCAAGGGGAGAGCTTAATTATAATGTTTCATTAAGAAATGTATCATCTCTCAGGCATATTGCAAGAATTATTAGTCATTCTGCTGTCAATGAGGGAAGGCACCGTGTAATTGTGAAATTATATTAATATCATCAATAGAGTCAAAATAACATTTCATAGAATGTTCAAGTTGAAAGGACTATACAGAAACTTTAGTTTCCCAAACTTCCCTGAAGATAAGAATCACTTGGGACACTGCTAATAATAAAAAGTCTGTGGCTCCATCTAAGACCCACTGAATCAGAATCTCTGGGCTCTAGGAAGCAGTGGATTTATTTATTTATTTATTTATTTATTTATTTATTTATTTATTATAAAATTTTAAACATTTTTATTTATTTTTGAGAGACAGAGAGGCACAGAGGGTGAGCCAGGGAGGGGCAGAGAGAGAAGGAGACACAGAATCCGAAGCAGGCTCCAGGCTCTGAGCTGTCAGCACAGAGCCCGAAGCAGGACTCCAGCCCACCAACTCTGAGATCATAACCTGAGCCAAAGTCAGACGTTTAACCAACTGAGCCACCCGGGCTCCCCACTGGAAGCTGTGGGTTTAATAAGCATAAGCACCTGAGCTCAACCTTATCCTCAGGGAAGTTAAGGGAACACTGAAGTCCTACACCTTTGTTTGATGGATGAAGGTCCTGGAACTCAGAGAGATCGATGGACTTGATGGATTTCAGAGAGCTACATCAGATGGGAATTGAAACCACCTCCCCTGACCCCAGTCCAGGAACTTTCTAGGACACCAGAGCACTACATTAGTATTAAAATAAAACAAATAGCCATCATTGTCTTCGATTAAAAAAAGAAGCAGCGGCAAGTAGTAAACTTCTCAGGGGGTGGGTTTTATATAATTCTGAATATAATCTCCTAGACAGTTTATGTTTCAAGGAAATCCATAAAAAAGTAATATCACGTGTTTGTGTGTGAATGTGTACACACATACACATTTCATATCTATTCTATCATGTATCCAGAAGAGACCATTTTTAGGAATTAAACTATAGTCTTTTTCATGGTCCTTTACATGTTCTGTGTGTATGAACCTCATTCTTGGATTCTAACTCTTTTTGAGTCAGCCATTCAAGTATATATCCATTTGCTTTAAATAACAAAACTTTATCTTTTGTTCTGCTTCATAGGAATAGGGCTATCTTTCAACAAGTAACTCGTTTTTTTTTTAATTCATCAAAACAAAACTTGTTACAATTTTCCCTCTACTGGAGAAAAAATACAGTTGGACATTTTAACGAGAAATCTTTTCTCTGCCTCACAAGATTATACCATCTTCTTAATAGAATTTTCTTTGTTTCCACAGACTGTCCAAAGCCCCCAAACATTCCCATGATCATGTTGGGGGTTTCACTGGCTATTCTTCTCATTGGGGTTGTCCTCCTGTGCATTTGGAAGCTGTTGGTGTCATTTCATGATCGTAAAGAAGTTGCCAAATTTGAAGCAGAGCGGTCAAAGGCCAAGTGGCAAACGGTATGTAAACACTTGGGTGCTATCCCTTGTCTCCTGGAGAAAGTGACTCATGGAAGAGATGGGTGTCAGCTTTCTTCTGCTCTAAAAGAGTGATTTCACTGGTTCTTTCCCTACCCCTCTCACCATGTCCCTAACAGCTTTGATTTGTTGAGGACAAAGGAACCCAGATAGCTATTTGGGACCCAAACAACGCTCATAGCATACATTTGTCTCTCAGTGCAGTAGGCATTTCCCCCACTCTGAAGAGTCTCCTGAAACTCCTTATATACTGTTTAGGGACATAAAGGAGATACATTTAATCATTACCACCAGGAGGATCATTCAGGCCCCTCTTGATAAAGCATAGGTGCTGTATCTAAACACTTCCATAGATCAGTTGTGTTATAGCCAACAGAATAACGTTTGTGAGTAGTATTACAGTTCATGCCAATTTCCATAGAAATACTCATTATTTATAATAGGTTACAATGCCAAGTTGAGAAGACCTTTTAAATATCGTTCAGGTAGTTCTTCTCAATAACAAATTTTAAACAGCTACCTGAAAAATACCTAAAAAGTGTCAACCTTTAAGTACGTATACTCAATAGATATAATTTATGTGTCTCCCCTTCACAGTAGACAAACACAAAACAGGACTCCAATTTTCTGTGTTTCTTTTCCACAGGAGAGATAATTACATTTCTAGAGGGCCATAGAAACAATTTCATGGTTTTAATTTCATCTTTCTATTTCTAATGGTGTGCCAGCTATCTAATAGCAATTATCTTACATTGCTGATTCTAAAAACAGTGATTTCACTGCAGAAAATACAGGCAAACACAATGCTCTTTTGTGTTCATCTGCTCCAATAAGTTGATATTAACATTTTTTTTCCTCTAATTATATAGTGATATCCTCAATTCTTAAAGCAAATGGAATTTCTGTTTTGGATAAATTTATCTTGATAAAGCATGTTTATATATCATGCAATTATTTTGAAGTAACGCTAAGATACAGTGCAGGACAATGGACAACAAAAATATTCAGCTACTTCATCTTCCTATTAAAAATGCCTTTAGACACAACAACCATATTCAATGCATGGATCTTGTTTCGATCCCGATTTGAACAGTCTGACTGTAAAAATACATTTCTTGGACACATGGAAGGAGGATAATAGAGACTGGATATTAGAATGATAGCAAGGAATTATGATTAATTTCACTAGGTAAGATAACGGCATGATAACTTTGCTAGAAAATATCCACATGTTGAAGTGAAAGGAAATGAAGATTAGGTTTACTCTGAAATAATTCAGCCAAAAGAGAGAAGGGGATAGTGGGGCACCTGGGTGGCTCTGTTGGTTGAGCGTCTGGCTCTTGATTTCAGCTCAGGTCATGATCTCACAGTTTGTGGAGCGAACTCCCTGTCAGGCTTGTGCTGACAGCATGGAGCCTGCTTGGGATTCAGTCTCTCTGTCACTCACTCTCTCTCTCAAAATAAATAAATAAACTTAAAAAATTTTTTCATGTTGGGGCGCCTGGGTGGCGCAGTCGGTTAAGCGTCCGACTTCAGCCAGGTCACGATCTCACGGTCCGTGAGTTCGAGCCCCGCGTCGGGCTCTGGGCTGATGGCTCAGAGCCTGGAGACTGTTTCCGATTCTGTGTCTCCCTCTCTCTCTGCCCCTCGCCCGTTCATGCTCTGTCTCTCTCTGTCCCAAAAATAAATAAACGTTGAAAAAAAAAATTTTTTTTTTAATTTTTTCATGTTAAGAGAGAAGGGAATAGTGAAGCAAGTGTGGCAAAATCTTGATCATTGTTGAATCTGGGTGATGGGTCTATAGAGGTTTGTTATACAGCTTTCCTCTTTTGTGTATGTATGAATTATTCATAATTAAATAAAATGCTTTAGGAGAGTAAATTTGGATTTGCAATGAGGATACAATTTATCCGTCCCTAACAAGGTAAAATGTAACTTGCTAGATTAGTCTGGTGACTTAGAACATAGTATTATGAGGCTAAAGTTGAGGGCAGTTAACTTCATCTAATCCCCCGGCCGTGGGTGTTTATAACTCTCATCAACTGTCAAGCAAATGCCTGACAATGGTCAAAAGGACAATCAGACAGGGGCGCCTGGGTGACTTAATCGGCTAAGTGTCCAACTTCGGCTCAGGTCATGATCTCACAGTTTGTGAGTTCGAGCCCTGCGCACAGGCTCTGTGCTGACAGCCTGGAGCCTGCTTTGGATTCTGTGTCTCTCTCTCGCTTTGTCCCTCCCCCACTTGTGCGCGTGCTCTCTCTCTCAAAAATAAATAAACATTAAAAAAATTATTTTAAAAAGGGCAATCAGGCAAAAGGATATGATTAAGTTGACACAAAAAAAAAAACCAAATAGCAGTAGTTGGTTGAACACCACCACCCTGTGAAGTAGTCTAGATAATCCCATTTTGAACGTAAGGAAATGGATGCTCAGAGAAGTTAAGGGACTTCCCAAACTTTTTTTTTTTTTTTTACTGGAAAAATTACTTTATGAAGCCTTAAGAAGCACTGAGTATAATTAAATATAGTCCAGCATTAGATACAATTTAATAATAGTCTAATTCCTATTAATAGTCCAATTCCAAAAAAAAGTTTTTATAGGTGAGGCCATGACATTTCCTAACACTTGATTTTAATGCATTGCACTCATTTTCTAAAACAACTCAGAAGAATCAATATTTATAGTAGATGGATTATTTATGAAAAATCTGGCATCAGGTATATATTTATATATGTGTTATATATATATATATATATATATATATGTAGAAGCCAGAATTATATGAACTATGAAACAGCCAAACTGGTATGTAAGGTTTAAGACTGGGATTCATAAATGCTTTTCTTTTTTTTTTTTTTTTTAATTTTTTTTTTCAACGTTTATTTATTTTTGGGACAGAGAGAGACAGAGCATGAACGGGGGAGGGGCAGAGAGAGAGGGAGACACAGAACTGGAAACAGGCTCCAGGCTCTGAGCCATCAGCCCAGAGCCCGACGCGGGGCTCGAACTCACGGAGCGCGAGATCGTGACCTGGCTGAAGTTGGACGCTTAACCGACTGCGCCACCCAGGCGCCCCTCATAAATGCTTTTCAAAGCATGGGGTTTGGGGAAAAAGCAGACACCTTATTTTCAAAACCTGAAGTGTTTCTCAGGACTGAAGTCACAATTGTAACTGCCACAGAAAAGGAAAAAAAGGGAAGTTTCCTTGCTTTAATTGTTCATCTGCATCAGAAAGTCCAGTATCCCTGAGATAGGAACCACTGCAATAAGAAGGGAGTGAATAGGTTCTCCCAAAGGAAGATTGGTGCTTAATTATGCCTATTGCCCTGGTCATCAGGTGTAAACATTGCATTTCCCAACCTAATGCTTTGCAGCACCAAGACTTTTCAGTAATGGTTCATCGTAAACCCAACATTCTCCATCTTCATGAAATAACTTTGTCTCCCACTGAATTTCCTTCTCTTTCCTTTCCTGGGCTTCTGCTCTTCGTCTTTCTCCAAGTCTATGCTTGTCTTCAGTTGCCGCATCAATGTCTCTGATTTTTAAGTTGAAAGTGACATCCTTCCAAAGGCAGTGGGATTCATACTCATTCTGATCTTCTAACTTCCTCACTTTCTTCTTAATTATAGGCAACTTGTTGGTATCTATAAAAACTGCATTTTCCCCTGTTGCATATTTTGCATACATTACACCATTCCGTTCCCCTTCAATTGAGCAAAAAGATTTCCTGTCATTTGGAGAACTACAAAATCTCAGCAGTAATTCTGTGCTTCTTGCCCCACAGAAAGGTTTAGTGTGGAAGACGATATTTGCACTATAGCCAGTTTTGGAACAATTGATATTGCATTCTCTGCCTAGTTCCACCCAGGGCACTGTGAGGACAGACCTTCCATAACCATTGGGGAATGTGAGAATGTAATGTTCGTCATAATCTAGACATGAGACACAGCCCTGCCCTATGTTGTGCACCCCAATCGACATCCCAAGGAATTTTGATTTGGTCCAGATACGAGCATTGAATTGTATCTTTTTGTTAAAACGCTCAGCATAAAAAGCTGAAATGGGTGGATGATGGGAAACCTGCTCAGCCATGAATGTCACAGTTTTTGGAAACCCAGGGAACTGGTCCTTCTGAAACTAGCTCTGGGTTCTCTTCAGTATCATTTGGTAATGTCCAATGACATTGAAAGATTTCACCCAAAGTAGGGTTGTATGGCTTTTTGGCAACCAATCCTTTCCTTCCTGTGTGAAAGGCTGAGAGGTACCATTTCACAACCTGAACCATTCGATCTCTGGCATCCTTCTGGTCACTAATGCTCACAAACAGGTCCAGATGTGCAAAAAAGTCTGCATACATTTCTAACAGAGATCTTCTTTCAAGAATAATGTTGGAAGAACTACCTTAGTAAGATCCATTCCAAGCCTAACCTGTGACAAGAGATGCATGACAACGCTCTTGTGCTCTTCCATGGACCCTGCCTCCCCTTCATCATCTCTATCCTCATGTGAATCAAAGAGGTCAGCATCGCTTGTTCCATTGGACATGGAAGAATTAAGTGACTCTGTGGTATTGGGGTGCTTGCGACTATTTCCTGAGCTGCTGTGTGTCAAGACAGAGGCAGATCCACAGGAATCTATTAAGTGCTTTGGGGATGAGCCACTTTGATGAAATTCATCAGCATCATAGAATTCATCTTTGCTGCTAGAATAAGAGAACTCAGGGACAGTATTTGGAAACAAGTTGACATAGCTTGGAGAAGTCAAACTGCTACTAGGTGGTGAGTGCCCACTGCCTGTACTATTTGGTGTTGGAGTCTGATGATGTCCCAAGGTAGCTACTACAGGTCAAACTGGTAGGGAAGATGGATGCTGCCCTGACTTACACAACTGAGCAGGTTCTGGAGGTAAAGACAGTCTGAGTAGGCATTGTTTTGATTGCAGGTTCCAAGGGACTAGGTTGATATATTGCATCTACAGGATTAATAGTACTTTTAGCAATCTGCAGCAACACAATGCAATGTTTAATTGATTTTACCATGCTATTTGTTGTTTCTTCAAGAGTTTCAATTTTCCTTCTCTGTTCATCATCTTTGCAGTTTTGAAGTTTATCATCAAAAAGCTTTAATTGTTCTATCAAGATTTGTAGGTAAGCATAGGCCTCTGTAAGTTTCTTATCAAAGTCTTGGACACTAGGAACAAATCCTGAATCCAAACCCCCAGAGGGCAGCGGAAAGGAGGCAGGGAGAGAGCGACATTCACACCCACGGCCCGGCCCAGACAGGCAGCAGGGACCCTGGGGACTCAGGAGTGTGGGCCGGCCCCTTTCCCAGACCCTCTGGGTCTACTCACTCCACAAGTGGCCAGCATGAAAGCCATTCACCAAAGCCCCCGCCCTCTGTGCCTCCAGAGGGGGGAACCAGGGGCTGCTTCCAAGCACCCCTTTTTTTCTCCCCCAGTCTGTATCCCCCAGAATGCAGTGAAGTCTGTCCACTCCAGACTTCCCAAACTTTTGATCCATGCTGGAGCTGAGATCCTAACTGCAGCCTTCTTCTAAGCACAGCCTTGACCCTCCTAGAAATAATAAGCAGGTGTTCTACAAACAAACACTTGGGCAATTATGTGATGTGTATCTACTAACCAGCACATTTTAATGTTCTCATACAAAGGCATGACCACTGACAAATGATTAATATCTTTAAAATAACATTTTAATTAACAGTTAATTTCCCCAAAACATGCATTGTGTTCCCTCAGGGTGTAGAACATGACTGAAATTTAAATGCTGATTTTTACTGTTTCTTCATCTAAAATGGAACAAAAATATGCATTAAACAGATAAAATCATAAATGAAAAATATTATTCCCTTGTTAAACTGAGTTTCTTTGAATAACAAATGTTTGATGTTCTTGACTAGATAATAACTGGGTAATAATTATTCACTTGGATGCAAAAGAGGTTTAATTCAAATAATTCAATTCAAATTTCACTAATATATCCTATTGGAAAAAAAAGTGTTGCTCAGTGCATCCATTTTGGGGTCCTCAGTTTGATTCCACTTTTAATCTAAAAACTGTTTCTTCTTGAGAACTGATTTTGACTGGTCTTCAAACCCCAGGGGACCTCCAGAGTCAGTAGGGGTGGGTTGGATCTCCTGACCCATAGGCCTCCACTGGACTCTAAAGGTGACAGAGCTCAAGACAAAAAGAGCTCCGTTTCTTGCCTCTTGAAACATTTCATCATAGCCATAAAGAAAGGTTACCTTTTATTATACTTTTAAAAATAACCTCCCCATCCATATTCTTTATGAAAACACAAAGGGAGGATATTTAAATTCATCTTTGATTAGACATTTTTTTCTAGGATGACAAGTCATTAACTAGAGGCAAAAAATGTTCAGTCTGACATTTCTTGCAGCCATGGATTGATTTTGTACTGTGCTAAGCAAATCAGGTCTGCATTTGGCAGTTAGGCAATCATTAAGAGAGCTGTGGGTCATGACAAAGAGGTTTCTTATTACACTTTTTCAAGCTCCAGAAATATGCCACTGCATTTACAGAATCCACAGCCGAAATTAGCACCCCCAGATTTCAGGGGAAATCAGCCTGGTCACCCCAGATCATTGTGGGGGAAACCCAACCTTGTCTAAACAGTGAAAGAATTCAGACCCACCTGAAATGGAGACCCAAGGCTGTGGCTTGGCTGGAAACCTGTAGGAGAGTTACCATCTGCATGGCCTAGAGGAGGCAGTACTACACATTGCCATCCTTTTTTCTACCAACAAAATCTGGTTTGAGCTTATTCTCCTGAGTTCTGATCGTCAGCTGAGGGCAGGAAACACAACTGCCTCCCAGCAATATGTACTTGCTCTTTCTACACCTTTCAACTCCCACCTTACCCTCTTACTATGGTGGGGTCTGCTTCAGCCATCATGCCCAGGACCTACAACTAGCTTTGCAAGAGACCCCCTGAATAAAGTTGCTTCAAAATACAGAATGAACACTGTAATCAAAATGAACATTCATCTAAATGTCTACAAAATAACATCATGCATTCAGTTCATTGTAACTTAAGTCACTTCCCTTATGGTGCAATAAATTAGTGTGGAATGTGGGTGCATTTTAATATGTTTGACATAGCATGGGATGAGGTTCATGAAAGAGTTCCTGGTCCTATGAAGATCTAAGCTGGCCCTGCTCACAGCCCATTTACTCCTTCAGAGTATTTTTTCTCTTCCCTAAGCCTTCCTCTTCCTCCAGGACTTGTCATCCCAACCTGTACTTATTTTTGCCATTTTTCCTCTTCGACTGAGTTCTTTATTTTTCTGTAACCGGCTTAAACTTAATAGCTTGTAGTCTTGAAAACGGAATAGAATTCATACATGATTTTTGTTTCCAAATGAGACTCCAACCGCACTTAAGACCATATTAGTGTGTCCTTCACTCTCCAAATTCCAAGTTCTTATGGCAGCAGGACTAAATAACGACAGGAGCATCCTCAGAATCATCCAGGCTGACTTCAGGAATAGAGAAGTATGGTGACCTGGACTTCATTCATCATCCACCATCAGAGAGCCTGTTTCCTATTTGCGCTTATGGCCGAGATAGCATCTCTTTCTGAAGGCACATGAACAAAGGTTACATGTTACTCAGTCAGAGGTCAGGTTACTGGCTCTGGGAGAAGTGGGTGCAGGTGTGATTCCTCCTCACAATAAAGACACTGTGGCAAATGCAAGGACAACAAGTGGAAGGCCCAGGAATGTTTTTCAATTTTATTTAGTTCTTCTGAGAGCCGAGAGAAATGTCCTGGGAAAGCAAATACAGCTGTTTTTGAAATCTATGTCTAGAACTTGCCACAATCTCTACAATATATAGGATAAGGAGACAAAAATATAAGATTTAGTAATTTGGAAGGTCATAGGTGATACCTAGACTTCATACACAAGCAGAAGTGGGCTTGGAAGTGTTGAATGTGAAAGCTCCAGGGGAAAGTATCTTTCTAACCCTCTCCAAAACTTAAAATTGAAGGAAATTCCAAATATGAAGAAGAGGTAGAGATAAGAACTAATAAGAGGCGGCATTTATTGAGCACTGAATGTGTGTCAGGGACTGTGCTAAAGTATACTTCATGAATGAGGTAAGCACTTTGGTAATCCCTCCAGTGGACGAGGACACCAAGACTCAGAATTGCTTAACTGAGGTCATGTGGTAGAGCTGGGTTTGAAACCAGGCTGTCTGACAGCAAAGCCTGTGTGGTCAACCTTGGAAATTGGGAGAGAAGAAACTGCAACTTACACAGACATCTTGTGCCTACCTGGAACGATTCAACCAAAGGAGGGAAATTAGAGGGTCAAGCTTGGTATTTCTTTAAACACTTACAGAGCCTGGCTTCTTCTGGTCCTGGTAATGGCACCTAGAAACACATCTACACCCTAAAGAGCACAACTGAATTATCCAGACATTGGCACAAATCCTCTGCACTTCCCCAAAGGCAAAGCCCTCTTGCCCAACCTGCCTTGGGACCTGTACTCTGTCATGCGCCCAGTGTCCTACATGCCAGTCCCTGGTGACTCTCTGCTTCACACACTGCTATTCTCTAGGAAGCACATGCTACCTAATTCTTCCAGTCTCTAGGGCAGGTTTTCACTGTCCTAGGGATCTTTCCTTGCTTCTCCCAAGCAGCTAGTTGTTTCTCCTGAATTTTTATCTCACGTTAGCAAGATTATCTGTGCCCTTGTGTGATGCCTCTCACCAGCAACACCTCTCTTAAAGGCAGATACTATGTCATTGTCTTTGCACGCTTCTACAAGTGCACTTTTCCCATTTTTTACTTTTTATTTCCTCTTGGGGCCACCTTATGGTTCATTCTATTCGTTCAGTAAATACTGAATGCCTGCTGTTGGATAGGCACTGTTTTCAACTCTGGTAAAACAGCAGTGAACAAAACAGTCAAAGTCTTGTTTTCTATCCATAAATTAGTGTGTTTCCAAACAGGGTCAGATTTTTATGATACACATATGGCACTGGTTCTGCATATTAAAAAATTAAATGAACAGGAGGCGCGTGGGTGGCTCAGTCGGTTGGGCGGCTGACCAGCTCAGGTCATGATCTCACAGTCCGTGAGTTTGAGCCCCACATCGGGCTCTGTGCTGACAGCTCGGAGCCTGGAGCCTGCTTTGGATTCTGTGTCTCCCTCTCGCCTCTCTGCCCCTCCCTCTCTTGTGTGCACGTGTGCATGCTCTCCCTCTCTCTCTCTCTCTCAAAAATAAACATTAAAAAATTGTTTTTAAATGAATAAAAATAAAAAATTAAATGAAGAAGTATAAATTTTAAAATGCTAAAATGATATATGAAATTACTAAGAATATATTGAATCTATGGAATTAATCAAAATTATTCAAATGGCTTCCAAGCTTGAGCCTGACTCTCTTCTTCTCATTTATAATGTACAATGAAATTATTAAAGATATATTAAAACCATGTAATAATATGTACATACTTTCATTTGAACTTTTTTGTTGTTTTTTTTAGGGAACCAATCCACTGTATAGAGGTTCGACCAGTACCTTCAAAAACGTAACCTATAAACACAGGGAGAAACAAAAGATGGATCTTTCCGCAGATGGATAGAACTACTTCATGCACAAAAAAAGTCTGCTTCACTGACATGAAATGTTAATGCACTATTTAATTTTTCTTTTTTGTTGCTTTAAAATGAGGTTGGTTTAAGATAATAATAGGTCATTTGGAGATCAGTCATTGTCTGTATGAAGGTTAGAGACTGTGTTGGCAGGTTCAAAATAATCAAGAAGAGAAATATCCTTAGCAAAGGGGTGACTTTGGGGATCATTGAGGAATACTAACTCTGTTGCATTAATGCCTCAAAAAATCATCAAAATGACACATGGGGGCCTGATTTGCATTTGAAAAATGTTTGAAATTAGAATCTCATTTGTTGCAGGAATATAGCTACCTGAAGTCTTTGTCTCAGCAAAGTCACAAAGTCCATATGCTCACATTAAATAATCACACTTGCGAATTAATTCTAAACTTTGAGTAAATCTGCCCTTTCCTAAAGGAGGATTCTTTTAAAAATCTATGAAAAATGAGATGCTGACTTTTACTTCAACCGAGAGGATGCAATTCTTCTAAAGATGCCCCAAATGTAATTAGTGTTAATAATTTCTGTGGATTTGCATGTATCTAAAAGTCAGGTACACAAACAAGTATTTTATTTGTTTTACAAATGAAGAATAAATCTATAAATTAGAAAGTTACCGGTAAAAACAAAAATAGCTAGTCCATTATTTGGATTATTTTTAATTACCGGAAAATTTTCTACACTCAGTTTCCCTCCTGACCCCAAGTTTTCAAACTCTTACTTCTCCCATATTTTTCAATCCTTTTTACTTAATTTCATAGTCACCTAACCCCTGGAAATGCCATATGAAAGTTTTAATTTCTTGTTAAAAAACTACTGTAAATGATTAGGTAGTTTATTCAAAAAGAGCTCCAATAATGCAAAAGGAACATGGGTTAAAAATAGAACAAAATTTTAAATGGCTTTAAAGCAAACACATCAAGAGTACACAGTCTCTCATGAGTAATAGGCTTTCTATCTATATTTGTTCCCATTTACATAACCTAACTTGCACATTTCAGTTGCATATGGTAAATATGCATCTTATATTTACTTTAAAAAGTAAGATTTATGGAGCATCTGGGTGGCTCAGTCGGTTAAGCGTTTGACTTTGGCTCAGGTCATGATCTCGCAGTCTATGGGTTCAAGCCCTGCGTCAGGCTCTGTGCTGACAGCTCAGAGCCTGGAGCCTGCTTCCGATTCTGTGTCTCCCCCTCGCTGCCCCTCCCCAGGTTGTGCTCTCTCTCTCTCTCTCAAAAATAAATAAACATGAAAAAAACAATAAAATAAAAAATAAAAAGTAAGATTTTACTTGCAAAATAGATGTGGATAATTTGAGTTCCATGGGTTGATTGAAGAGATGGATGTTGTAGAATAGTATTTCCTATTAGTACTGCTTCACAAAGCGTTGTCCTCTTTTTTGATGTTCATAAGGAAACTAAGCCTCAGAGAGTGAGTAGAAGAACTGGTCCAGAATCTAGATCTTCCACTCCAAGATATTTTTTCTCTCCACAGTATGAGACAGACCCTTTTGCCCGTGAAATGATGGAAAGATTTTGTTAGTTAAGTGATCACTATCATTTGTTTGAAAATGTACTGAGACTAAAATAACATTTAAATGACTGGAGTACTGGAGTAGAGGTGAGGTCTTGTACTTTTGTGCAGTGTTTATTACCTTTGAGTAAATTGTAATGTGAAAACTTGTACTAGGTGAATAGTTCATTCTGTAACAGAAACTTCAAATGTATCCACGGAATTGGCACAGGTAATGTATGATAAGTTTCTTCAATTCACATTTGATCACTTGGATTTCTGGTTTCTAAGTAACTCAGGTTAATCAGACACTTGGGGAATACACAGCTATACTCAAAGAATTACTAAACAATCACCTTGGACACCTGAAGGACAGATGTACCCCCTCTGTTCCTGACTGAAGCCCAGGGTCTGGGGAAAACCTACAGCAACAAGGAAGTTGCAATAGTGATGAACCAACAGTAGTATTCACCTCTACCCGTGATATTTTTGTATAATTATAGGAATGGGACTGTAGAAAATATGAGTTTTCTTTGTGTGTATATTGGGGAAGGTAGAGAAGAATCTGCTATTTCTCTAAATACTGTTTTGACCCAAGGCTGGACCTTAAAAGGTCAAAACATTAACAGTAGTACTTCTGTTCACTGAAGAGTTATATTACATGAAGATAAATGGTTTTTTGTAAGTTGTTGTATTGTATTTTGTGTTGACATAAATAAACGTGGTAATTTAAACAACGAACCTTAGATGGATGATAATTCCTTTTATTTACTTGACACAAAACACTCTTCTTGGATTTCTGGATCCCTGTGTGACCTGCTCTGACCACCTTGCTGATCTCATTCTGGGGCCAAGCAGAAGAGCTGAGAGAGGCAGTCACCAATGGCAAGAGACAGCAGGGAATGGGCTGCAGTTTGCTGCATGGTTACGATATCCACATCATAAGGTTTTTTAAAAAAAGAGTCTTGGATATTACCCTACATTTTGTAAAATCAGGATTAGTGTTATGGGCTGAGTTGTGGTCCCTCTCCTAAAACTTGTGTACTGAAGTCCTAACCCCCCAGTACTTCAGAATATGACTGTATTAGGAGATAAGGTCTTTAAAAAGGTAATTAAGGTAAAGTGAGGTCATTAGATTGGGTCCTAGTCCAATATGATTGGTGTCCTTATAAGAAGAGGAGATTAGGACACAGATGCACACAAAGGTACAACCATGTGATGACACAGGGAGAAGAAGTCCATCCACAAACCATAGAGAAAGGCCTTGAAAGCAACCAACCCTGCCAACACTTTGCCCCGGGCCTTCTGGCCTCCAGAATTGTGAGAAAATGCATCTCTGTTGTTTGAGCCCTCCACTCCTGGTACTTTGTTATGGCAACCCTAGCAAACCAGTACAGTCAGATGGTGCCACTTTTCTGGGCATCCATTTGCTGGATTCCATGGGGCCATGCTCATTTTCCAAAGTTAAGCAGAGAGAAACCAATGCTTACAAACAGACCCAGCTTAGAAAAAGTCCTATTCTTGGGCTCTTTCCTCATAGAAGGGCAGAGAAATTCAAGTCAAAAGTACTTATACTCTGAAACACTTTATTACAGACAAAAGCTGGATATCTGAAAATCCGGAACCTGTTCACATTTTAGATAGCACTGAGGAAGTCCTTTTTCTCCTCAGTTTTTCCAGCTGTAACATGGTGGCAATGCCTGTCTTCTTCCAACACCTACAGGATAGTGGATGCTCAATAAATTCATTCAGTCAGTATTATATTTTTTAATGTATATTTATTTTGACATAGAGAGTGGGGGAAGGGCAAAAGAGGAGAGAGAGAGAGAGAGAGAGAGAGAGAGAGAAAGAGAGAGAGAGAGAGAGAGAGAGAGAGAGAATCCCAAGCAGGTTCTACACTGTCAGTGCAGAGCCCGATGGAGGGCTTAAACTCATGAACCATGAGATCATGACCTGAACTGAAATCAAGAGTTGGAAGCTTAACCGACTAAGCCACCCAGATGTCCCCATTTAGTCATTATTATTGAGTGCTTAATATATGCTAGACGTTTTTTTCTTTTTAAATTTTTTTTGACATTTTCCTTATGATTACAGATACAGAAATGAACAAAATAAGCAGTTCCTGTGCTCTCTAGTAAGGGAGAAGATAGTAAACAAATGAATGTACAATATCAGGGTATGCACATCCCAGATGCACATGTCCCCACCTGTCTCCAAGGTCTAAGCTAAGTGTCACTTCAGCATCAGCTCACACATTTCCCTTAAAAGTAAAACCCATCTTGCACCTAACTCCCCAGTCCAGAGAGGTTGCTGAATCTAGGTAGTGAAGAAAACAGAAGTTTTAAAAGAAAAATCTAAGGCTAAGTTGCTCTGTAAGGCACAGTAAGGCACTGAGCCAGGGAGGGGAGAGAAAAGAAAGTAAAAGTTTACCTGTCTGGGCTGGAGGGAGAGCCAGGAAAGATTGGGAAGTTTGGGAAGAGGGAAGACAAAGTTTCTGGAGCAGCAACTGGGTCTGGGCAGTGTTGAGAATAAGATATATGGGGTTGCAGGTGGTTGGCTGTTCATTTTAAATGTACTCATTCTTGTGAGCCTACTGTTGCCCTGACTAAGGCAACCTGTGGGGCTTCCCAGTGGGAAGACCCAGCTCTGTGGGGGTGTCAGCTGCGAGTCCAAATGTGGATTTAATCTGGTTCAGGTTTCTCCTTTAAGATTCTTTAACATCAGAAACAACCATGCCCTGAAAGCTTCTGTGAACCCTCCCAAATGGCAAAGGGCAGCCCCCAAAGCAAACCAGCATCTTCTGATTTGCTCTCTCCTTCACCTCTCCACACCCAGTCCTTCAAGTACTCCCAGTATTAGAGAAGCAAACCTGCCAATAACATTCTTTGACTCTAGGAGAAGGCTGACCTCTCAAAAGAGTAAATGTATTTAAATGTTAGGGATTCAAAACAATTTTGTGTCATCTTCATTTTATAAATATCTAAATGGGGAAAACATTCCCTATTCAGAGGAATTGAATGACGTGTGATAAATAGAAATTCTCCCTTCTGTTAAATGTCATCATACTGCAACGGACTCAAGTAAACGCAACTAAAAAGCATGGCAATTTAAGTTCAGGACTTCACAGTGGCTCTTTTAATAGGTCACTTGGGTCTGAATACTCTGGTACTAAGTGAGAGAAGTTCTGGATGATGCTTCTGCAGCCAGGAGGGTGAGCAGCAGCCAAATAGTCCCACAGCTTGGGCCAAGGCCTTAATTCTCTGGTTTGTGGACCGCAGTGGGGTTATATGCTATCTCCCTGTGCCTTGGAGACATCCAAATGTGAAACAGAACTTCACCTTCTGTTCTCTTGTATTTGGTTGCACAACCAGCAAAGAGAGAGCAGCTCAGGCATCCCAGGAGTTTCTCGTCTTGTAACCCTGTCTCAGAGGTAGACCCTGGGCACTACCAGTCACTTCCAGAGACTGGGCT